TACACGTCCTTCGACGAGTCTCAACACGCACCCGTGGTGTCCGCGAACGCGAGATGAGGCAATTCGTGCAGGCATTTGTCGTCTCACGGCTCCTGTATGGTCTTCCCTATCATCCAGTCAATCGGACTCAGATGATAGCTCTAGAAAGACTTATCAACGAGGCCCGAAGACTCATTACTGGCCTTCCCAGGTACACACGCCTAGACGTGCTCAAGAGTTGCGGGGGCATTAATGATCTCAGCGAACTCGTATCCGCGCACTACAACATCCAGGAGGCACGGCTTCGCACAACACCAGCCGGCCGGTCTATCCTTGCAAAACTAGGCTACGCCGTGCACGATCTGCCCGAACTCCCACAACAGACCCCGCCGTGGGAACACATTGTCCTCACCGACGGGACTCCTCTACCTCAGCGGATACAGAACACCGGCAGGCGCCTCCCCCTAAAGAGACGGCATTTAAAGTACATTCGCTCGCTTGACGATTGCACCCACGTGATCTACGTCGATTCATCCCTGCCAGCTGATCACAAATGCGCTGTCTACGCCACGGCGTGGTACAATTGCAATACAGAAGCACAGGCACGATACCTGCACACAACGGCTACGCCCCCGCTGAGCACCCAAGCGGAGCTTCAAGCCATCACGGACTATGCGCGCGACGCACTTCTTACGGCAAAGGAAGACGCACCAGTCACGCACATAATTTATACTGACTCGCAAGCGGCACACCACATATGCTCGGACACCAAATATACCGGACCTACCTTACACGAGCTCAAGGTGGCCGTCTCATCTCTGAGAGCGTCCGGCCATCAATTCATCATACGATGGGTCCCTGCCCACTGTGGCATACCCGGTAATGAGAAAGCCCACAGACTAGCGCGCGCACACCTCCTCTCCGCGCTGGCCAAGGGACCCTCCTCTTCCTCATCTCTAGGCAACCCCTCACAGGAAATTGCAAACCCTTGGCACGACTTGCGCTCTACCAAAGCCCAGCGAGCCACCTACCTCTCCATGGCCGCTAACCCGCTATCCATCCCTAAGATTCCCTCCCAACATTTCTCTCGTAGGGAAGCCGTCATGATTCGGCAAATTCAGACAGGGACCCTACTGACACCGCATCTCTTACAGCGGTTTCGCGGGAACGACGGGGCGGGACCTTCCACAGCCTCTGGCATCTGCAAGAACTGCAATTCTAAGGCAGACCAGGTCCATCTCATGTGGTCTTGCCCTTTGTATAATATTCCACGACAACAGGCTTTGGACCTCATCACAAACGCCCCAGTACCCGCATCCCTGAACGCCTGGGCATGTCCAGACACCACCATATCCCCCAAGCATGCTTTGGAGCTCTGGGAGGCACTACTCACCTTCATAAAAGACCCAACTGCGCCTCCAGTGGGGGACCGGCTCTTTCCGGCTACAGCTAAGAGGATACGGCCTCCCCCTCCCCCGTCGACGAAGACCTTGAAGCCATGAAGTGTTGCCCTCCTCCTCCTCTCCTCTTCTTTGGCCCCCGCTTCCTAATCCCTTATCCTCCTTCTAACTGACCTCCGCAGCGCGCTCCGCGCAATATAAGGTCAATAAACGTGTTTTCAATCAATCAATCATCGAACAGCGAGAGCGATGCAACTGAGTTGTTGGATTTGAGCTCAGATGACTCCGATTTCAATGAGGACATCGTGTCGGCGTGTCGGCATGGACTAGAATCAATGTAGAAAATCTCCCTCCAGCCCCTGCACGTTTTGCGTTCACTTTGCGTGCAATGTGATGTGAACTGTAAAATAGTTTGTTGTTGGGCGAGTTGGTGAACGTTTGGATTCATGGTTTTGCGCAAAAAAAGACGGACACAGGAGAGAGAAACAAACACGAGCGCAACTTTCAACTCTATTGAAGAAACCTTTAGAAAAACATACAGATATATCGTTGATTTCAATGCGTCCACGCATGCGTCATGTCACGATCACACGCTCGTCACAGAAACTTATCAAGGAAGCGTTTTTCAGCATTATACAAACTTATCGAGGTATCGCTCACACATAGGTCGCCTTTCTTATATTTACCTTATATATACCGATGTGTGAGCGATACCTCGATAAGTTTGTATAATGCTGAAAAACGCTTCCTTGATAAGTTTCTGTGACGAGCGTGTGATCGTGACACGACGCATGCGTGGACGCATAGAAATCAACGATATATCTGTATGTTTTTCTAAAGGTTTCTTCAATACAGTTGAAAGTTGCGCTCGTGTTTTTTTCTCTCTCTTGTGTCCGTCTTTTTTTGCGCAAAACCATGAATCCAAATGTGATGTGAACTGTCTGCAGTACTGCTACGCCCGGCCTGAACGTCCATGTGCAAGGTGATGTGAACTGCCTGCGGTAATGCAGTGAAGCGGCACTTAGTCCCTTTTTTTTTTTTTTTGCAGTCTGTTCAAACATTTCTCATGTAATAAATATTTTGGCATTTGTTTTTGGCCTTTGTATTGCGTATTAAGTTTATAGGGCACATAAAAAAATTCGATATTTTTAAATCGTTTTTTTTTAATTATTGCGGTAGGCAAATGGTTAAACTATTCAGGGAAATGTGTCGCCAGCTGTATTTGATATAAAACACCTGCAACTTGCCACAACTGTACGGGAAAAGATTGAAGTTTAATACTGAATTCCACGTGTAACGTATCATGCAACGTCTGTAACATGTAATACTAAGAGAGGCTTCGTAATTTTAATTAGTTGACGTGACTCAGTGTTTAAAGCACAAAAATAACGTTATTTTAAACATTATTTTTCTTTTGAAATAAAAATATTTTGTTGAGAGGATCGCTGACTTTTAGAGCGCAGCTGTTAGGGTCCCGTTTCCGAATTGAGCGGCGTCGGCATAACCACAGGCGTTGCATTATGGGACGTTTCCCCTCTAGATTTAGCGGATTAAGCTTCCCCGCTAAATTTAGCGACGAAATTGGTGCGACGTGACCTCTATACCATTTCAGTTTCTCCGCTAAATTTCGCGGAAAAATTGACGTAACGTAACCTCGACACCAATTCAGTTTCCCCGCTATATTTAGCGGAGAAAATGACGTCACGGCTTCGTGTCACGTCACCCATGAGCAAATTCAGCGGCCGGAGGAGAGGAGGAGGAAAGGAGGAGGAGGGGGTGCATACCCTCCCCTTTACACCCTCCCCTCCTCCTCCTCAAGAGCTGCGCTCTAGTTTCGCATTACAGAGATTTGTAAACGTCTTTCATTTTTTAATTGATTATATATCCCACTAACCGTTCACATGAATTATCGTGGACGTTGGGACGTTTTAACTGGGGAAAAATGAAGTTCAATTTATGAAACTATGATCGAATTACAGCTAGATAACAAATTAACAACTAAGGATGAACGTAACCTCAAGACATTAAAGTATAGCTGGGTAATGTCTCTTTAATTTGACATTCATTATAATACTCTAGAAAACATAAAATAGTTATAAAATGTTAAAAAAAGCAAAACGGCAAGAACGGTGGGGTGGCACCTTAATATAGCGAAGTAATGACGCAACTGAGTCAGCTTGCAGGTCTGCCATCGGCCACAATACACCGTTTCACAGCGTATCACTGAGGCAAAAACATGTCAAGTCACTGCGCTGTGGAAAAATGCGCGCTGTCTAATATCCGCAGAGGAGAGCTAGTGCGAATATCCATAACGCGTTCCACAAAAAGATTGCAGCGCGCTGAAGCAACACCTCCTGGACAGCTTTCAAAGCCTGCGCGTCACGTGACATCACGTCACGTTCCGGAGGCCTCCACGGGCGCAGATTGGATGTGAGTGCCGCGTCAGCGTTCGCGTGGGACTCGTTTCCTATCGTAGTTCCACGCGAACGCTGACGCAACTCTCGAATCCAATCAGCGCCTGTGCAGGCCTTCGGGACGTGACGTCACGTCACGTGACGCGCAGGCTGGAAAGCTGTCTAGGAGGTGCTGGCTGAAGGCGACTGTTCGAATGACCTACATAGAGTTTTCATCAGCGATGTAGTATTCCAACATTGCTTTGCTGAAGGCAGTTTCCCTTTAAGGAGCACGTATTATTTTCTTCTTTTTTTTTTCTTGTCCGTCTTTTTTTTTTTTAGAATTGTACGGAAGGAAACTGAGGAAGAGAATGAGATGAGAGCGTGCCGAAACGGCGGCTTTGTGATGAGCTCTGATTGGAAGAATAGGCGGCGAACGCAAAGGCCAAGTTGCTCCCTTTCTTTACCCACTGCCTCCCTGCAATCAGAGTGAGCAAGACCGTCGTCGCACATGCCGGCATTCGAACGCCGAACCCGGCCTTCGCCGTTCCAACGCCGGACCTTGCGCAAAGAGCAGACGGCGCTTTGGCTGGCTCTAATTGGAGAGAGACGCTGGATAGAAACCAGACGTGTACAGTAATCATTGAGAGTATACAAATTACTTGTGTTTGATTGCTTTTCGAGGTAATTTTGGAACCGTTTGATTGCATTTATAACAGGGTAGTCGCAAGAGTAATTAGGTCACTTCTCGAACGACTAAGATGACTTGCAACGGTTACTACCTTGTTCTCCCCTTTCTAGTGTCTGTTTTGTTATCTACAAGTTTTTCCCCAAGGAATCCTCAAACCAAGTCCCAGACTTGGTTTGAGGATTCCGTTTTCAAAGCGAAAATAATTTTGTTTTAAAAATCTGAAGTACCCAGATAAGTAGTGGTTACTTCTACAAGTGACGCTTAATTACTTCCTTTTCAAGTAATTAAGTAACCTAATTGAACACTTTTGACCAAAAGTAATTATAATTGTTATCGATTACTTTTTGTTCCGTGCGATGTCTACAAAGGCAGCTGGCCTTTGTGTCGTCTACATACCACCTTTAAAAACAGAGTTCATCGCTCTGACGTCGCCGTACGCTCTCATTTCCTCCTCTCTTTCTGGTTTCCTGCGTTCAACTAAGATGAGCGTTTCAACGTCTTTTTCGCCCTGGATACGGTGGTCTTCAGTGTCCTCACCGTGACGTTCCTGGGTACGCTGTTGCAGAGCTCGTCAATGAGTGCCTTGGCAGACTTGCTCACGAAGCTTTCTTCGCTGCAGACCATGGACTTCCTCCACGGGTTCATGTTGCAGATGGTGACGGCCGGGAACTGAACCTGCTTCGTCTGGAACCGTGAAACGTATGCGTTCTACACCTTGAGACTTGGTAGAGAAAGTTTCTGAAACATTTCGCAGCGATAATAGGGTGCCTCGATGTCTGCGTATAATACGTAAACACTGCGTTATTTTTGTTGCAGCCACTATGATATGCAGTGGGACGGTAAGTTTTTTTTTTTTTTTTTATTGTAATTCTAAGCCAGATTTTTAAAGTTTAGTTAATATTGTATCTCAGAGTTCTTCATTTGCATCAACTGATGGGTGAAGACAACGGGCGCCATCCCATTTTCCTTCCTGAAGCCGTCTGTATCTGCGTCTAAAATGTTCAATTCCGCCGTTTGGCTAGCATACAGGGTGTTTCTTTCTAAGCTTAACAGATTTGTTTGAGAAATCTGTGCGATCTACACTAATACGGCGTGGTAAGGTGAGTTATACGGCCAGGGAGATATAGTATAGAGCAGGAGTGGCCAGGCTGACCCGGCCTAAACGCCGCAAAAAACAAACAAACACGAAACTTCCAAGAGCCGCAGGAGGGGGGGGGGGGGGGGGGGGGGCAAGCTTTTGTCCAGAGCAATAAAAATTCTAACTACTTTCAATATATCTGAGTCAAAAGCAGTCCAACTGTACATAGAGTAGTAGCACAAGACTACCAAACCGCAGCCTGTCTTTCGATTTAAAACGCGTTCCATTTCTCTTTTTAGGGAAGTGCTCGTGGAACCGGGAGGGAGGCGGGGAAGTGGGGGAGGTGGGAGGGAGAGTCACGAGCCGCAGCCTGGCCACTCTGGTATAGAAAGATAATCGTAACGATCATTCGGCTAATAACCTAAATATGTTAATTAACGTTTTAATTATTCAGAATACATATATGGTTATATTTAGGAACTTGCGGTGCGTATTTGAAAACCACTAATTCAGTAAATCTTTACATGAAAAAACTTGGATTTTCTGGGAAGCATGGTGGAGTGCTAAAGTTACCACTCGTGCGATAGGAGGAAGCCTATCGGTGCGATAATGCCCCCGCGTGGTTTTTCCGTCTCTTATCATAGCCCCAGCCTTGTGTCTGTTGCGCGAGCGGTACATTTAGAGCAATACTGAGCTTCCCACACGCTCAAAGTCTTACTGAAAATGACTGATTTAGTGGTTTTCGACGACGCTCAGCAAGTAGCCAATTGAAACCCTATGTACAGGTTTTAAGTGATTAAAAGTAATTGGCATATTTTAGTTGAATATTTTACTTAACGTAGCAATAAGACCTCTATTTATGTCCACCTGTCCGTATAAGTTACCCGCACAAACTGGATTAGTGTGGTTTTCGGGGCTTTTTTAAGCAAATCTCCTAAGCGTAAAAAGGAACACCCTGTATGAATATATATGAAGGCGATATATATAGCCAATTCAAACTAATCATTGTGTCGAAAACGTAAAATGACATAGGGTGTCTATAGCTATATTATTATTTCTAAGACATATGCTAGAAAACTGAGCCGGCAAAGTGATTGCGACCAAATCAAAATGAATGTTCGACCACTGGAGTTAAAAAGAAAATAATGTTTAAAAAAAACACGTAAAATTGAGCTAAAAGACGACAAACGCCTTCTAGAAACGACGGCGGTGTTTTTAGACGTACAATCATAAACTTTAATGAATGTTTCCAGTAAATGACATTTTTTAGTACCTGACATCAATAGTCGTTAGGTATGGTAATTAAGCGTATCCAATTACAAACTTTTTCACTAACGTACTATTCATGTAAACTTTTAGAGCCTATAAAATATTCACCCGGAATAAAATTTCAGATGCGGACCGCAAGTTCGTCTGCTTCTTTTGCAGGTGTTGTGGTGACGTCAGAACGCTGACTTCTGATTGGCTCTGATTAAAGGGTAGGGGGTATACCTCAATGCAAGCATGCCTTGAGGTCTACCCACTATCTTTCGATCAGGGCCAATCAGAACCCTGCGTACTGACGTCACCACAACACCTGCAAAAGAAGCGGAAGAACATTGCGCTCCACATTTACTTCTAATTACATACTTGATCCTAACCAGAATTGTTTTCAACGTGGTCTTTCGTGTGAAGCTCAACTTTTTAAGTTGAAAATTGGTTTACTCAGAGCCATTCCCTCATATATACAAAAGTGACGCCTTTTTATATAGATTTGGCAAAAGCAATAAAATGTGTCCGTCACATTCGTCTTTAAAGAAATACCATGTCTTAAGATGAAGGAAATTGTAACTACATAAATTCGAGAGTGTTTGTACAATAAAAATCAATCGGTTGTAGTAAATGGAAACAGCTCAGTTACCATACTGTAAAATCGGAAGTTCCCAAGAATCTGTTCTTGGCCCACTTTAGTTTTTAAAATATATAAACTGCTTTCCTAACGACCTTTCTTCGAAGATCGCCTATTTGCCGACTGTGTTGTTTACAGTTAATTTCAAATCATTATGAATGCCTTGCTCTTCAAAGAGACTTGGACAGACTATATTTTCATGGCGTGATACAGACTAGAATAAAATAAATTTTAAAGCAACGAAAACTATGCCATTTACTATAATCATCTTACGAAGCTTCATTGCATTTACAAAGGTAAGGATTTCAATTGATAAAGTAAGTTAATATAAATAATTAGACATTCACCTAACTTCTAATCCTTCATGAAATGCACATACACAAAATAATTTAGTAAAAGCGACACTAAAACATTACGTTTTTTTAATATTTTTTTAAGAAGACATTTGTATATGTCAGCAGTGGAAACTAACAAGCTTGCGTACACCAAGAGAAAATAGCCCGAAAAGAAAACAGGACGATAACAAAACAAAAAAGTGGTAACCAACGATTTTGTTTTCTTTTTTAATTTTTTTATCCAAGACATAAAGGCAATGAAGTGGAAAAAAGAAAAAAAAAGTCTAATTCACAGAAGTACACTTTTTCAGTGAGCCAATCGAAAAAAAAAACACGAAGTGTCACAGAATATCTAACACATTTAAAAATCGTAGGAACTAAACCCCAACATTTACACGTACGTTCCCATTCTACCAATAATACCAATAATTTATTACGGTAGGCTATGCCTAGGACAGACAGGTCGGTGCATAAATGATCGAGCTAAGAAACACACTCTCTCCTTGAGGTCTACGCCATCAGGTCACCTGGGAGTTCATTCCAATAGATAGGGTTGCACACTACTGTTTTAACACGTTGAAATATTGCCAAGACACCCCAGACAATTTACTAGGGAAATTCATGAGGCATATTACATTCGTCTACACGGTCCTGATGTTTGCGTTAGTGCAGACTAAATTACGATCTATAATGAAGAGTTTCACTTTATTCGTAGAATGTTAACGTATGTATAAAAGTTGGGGTTTAGTTCCTACATTTTTTTTTTTAATTTGTTAAATATTCTGTGACAATTCGGTTATTATTTTTTTGTCGAATGGCTGACTGAAGAAGTGTACTACTGTGAATGTTTTTTTTTTCTTTTTTCCCCTTCCTTTCCTATGTCTTTAAGAACAAAAAGAAAATTAAGTTGTGAGTCAGCGCTGTGTTGGTATTTTGCATTCACGTCCAGTGTCTTTTTTGCGCTATTTTATCCTCTTACCGACTAGCCCAACTTCAAAGTATATTGAGTTCGCCCCTCTAATTAGGCCAAAGTTTAAATATGCAAGTATAATTTGAACCCCACATCAAAAATACTTAGTCGACAGACTTGATTCAATACAAGACACGGCAACTCGGTTCATACTAAAAATGTATGCCCGTGTAAGTATACCTCAGCTTCGAAATTCAACCAGTGTATTGACATGCAGTTACGAGAGGTAACTCGCAAGGTTGTTTCTTTTCCATAAGTTTTATAGCTCACCCAAATTTCGTCGAACTAACATCCTACCGTCCACTCGCACTTCCCGTTGTCATGATCACCCTAACAAAGTTCAGATTCTCTTTGCCAAGAATAATTGGTTCGACTGAGTGGAATGAGCTAAGCAGTGAAATAGCCCTCACCAGAGACCATGACTTTTTTCATTTCACTGCTGAGAGGTTTTAATGACACATGGCTCGAAAACATGTCTGTCGCGCGGTTGGCAACAATGCGTATTTTCTGGGTGAATGTGATTATTTGTTGGGGATTCGTCACTCATGTATATATATTAGTTTTATTCAAGTATTTATATTTTGCTTCTTCTTGATAGGTTTTTGTTCAATTCTGCATATGTGTAATATCCCCATCGGGTACTTTAGAGGTAATCAAATACCTAAATAAACGGAATGACATATCCCACCTCCTCCCCTCAAATAAAAACACGATATAAGTTTATGGTATGTAGCTGCGCATGTGAGAAACAATTTATCTGTTTAGTTTCACGTTTACTAAGTTCATGGCAAGCAGGCAATTACGAAAACTGGTCGACGGCTTGGGATTTTCTGCACTTCGTGTTCGATCGAACAGTCGGTAGAAATAAAGGCAGTTAGGCGTCTAGCCACTAACTATTTCTACCAGAGATCGGCACTTCGACGTCACCACGCGCTCTCATCTCCTCCTCTTCCTTAGTTCCCCACCGTATGGTAAAACATTCGACAGGGCCATGACTTGGTACTGCTTGCACGGGGACGCTCAGTCTGCCTCATCGAGAACCGTACAAATTGAGCCGATCCGTGGTCCTTGCCTCCATGATATCCTGGTTGACGCGGTCTTCGTAGGCGTAGTACTCTGCGAGCAGGCGGTGCGTGTCCCGCATGGTGAGCAGGAAGAGAGTGGCGTACAGGACGAGCCAAGCCAGCCGCCGCGGGTTCAGGTGGAAGCCCAGCACGAAGCGCAGGCCCGGCAGGCCGGACTCGTCGAAGAGCAGCCGGTACGACGTCACCACCTCTCGCAGCTCGGCGCGGAGGCCCATCGAGCGCTGCTGCGTCTTCACTGGCCCTGCAGACGACACCCTTGTCTTAGTGAGGCATTTTGAGTTTTTTCTAGAGTCAGCACGCGGTGTATTAGCGCCCAGACGTTTTGGTGGCGCCCTCCTATGGTTCCCTCTCGTGACGTCATTACTTCGCGAACAACAAGTTTGATGGTGTCTGTAATTAGTACAGTGGAAGCCTGAAACCATTCCGCTCTGAAATCAAAACCGCACACACCGCCAAAATCGAAGGTCTTCCATAACTCTTATTTCCGTCGATGAGAGCTCCTTTGCTGACGTCGTAGTCAGCATTCGGCCAATCGTGGAAGGCCGACCACAGCGACGCTTTCGATCGCGCACGTTGCCAATAGCCTACGAGAGAAAGTTTCAACTAATAAAAAAAAATTTTTATTATTAGTACGTGTTTACAGCACCGCGCCCGGTGCGTATATATATACACCTGGTGCATACTCTGCACGCAAAAAAAATAATTTATCGTACACAAAGAACTTTGAATATTGCCGGTGTTACTAGCGCGTAAAGAGGCTTTTATTGCACACCACTAATGATTAAAATAATCAGTTACTCCCAAGATCCGTCACTTCTCGTTATATAGACGATTGCAAGCCGGGCGATTGGCCGCCGCCATGTCTCTGCTCGAGCAGGCACGCCCGTGCGATTACGAGCTTGCGAAAGTTACGTTCACCCGCGCGTTGCACGCGCTTGCACGCATGGGGCACCACTTGTGGCGCCATGCTTGCAATTGTCTATAGAACGATCTTAAAAAAAAAAAAAAAGAGTTATTGTGTAAGACAAAGTATAAGTAGACAGGCCAGCTGGCTTATGCTACACATTTTGTGAAAAAACCGGAGAGGACGGAAGAAGAAGCCAGTTCTTTACCATTTATAGCATTATAAAACTGTCTTTAGAGACACGCTGAAAAGGGAACGGCAAGTATTGCGGCCAAGTTTGATGTTTCAGTGGTTTCCTGTCTTAACTGGACATATCATTAGCTTCCACCCCTTTCCAAGCTGCTAAAGTCCGGTAGCATATCCTTATAATGAGTTTCCATGCCCAGACGCGCTAACTCTGAAAAAGTTTAGCCGCTAGGCGTACGCTCGAAAACGTGCATAAACAGCGGGGTGCTACTAAAACGCCCTATCTCGTGGACATAATGGTACAGAGAGACGAAGTCAAACAATCGCATTCACCCAAAATTGATACAGTCAACGTGCGAACCGTCCTAGTCTGCGTCGCAACATCATCTCAAATCTGGATCATGAGTGTGTTGCGATTCCCGAGAGCAGAGCATGGCACATCAAAATAGCTAAGCCTCAGAACTGCACAGCGACAATAAAACCCCTGTCTAAAGTGCGCGCCACAAAGCACTACGCTTCAAAACCACAGAAAGATGCGCGTTGATATCTGAACCACATTAAATGTCGGTTATCGCAGCGCTAAATCAACATTCGAAACAACGCTGACGCTGCGCTGAGATAACCCAACGCAACATTAATACTGCGCTGAATCTGTGCTGGAACACTTAATTAATGCAAAGTCAGCAGTGCATCAGCAAGGTCAGAGCTATTTCCAGCGCTGCCTAATACCACTGAGGTAACGCTGTAGCGTAGGTGTAAACATGCCTTTAAGGAGGATGTGGGGATTAAAACAATTTTCTTATTTATCAAATAATGATTATCATATTACACACTGATGTAACACATCTCGCGCCTATTCCGAAGATGCAATCAGATATTGACTATTTTTACTAAAACCCGAGTCATAGGAGATGGGTCTCATTGGATTAGGTCATTTTGTTATGGGTCATTTAAGAAATATCATTCGTAAATTATCAAAATATGTAATGCAACTGCATTCATAAAGGTGTAATTTGTGCGGTGATGCTATTTTAGATCTCACCTGAGAGGGTTATGTTACTAAAAAACGAGTGTAATTATAGTGTAAAAGACATGCTTTTTCGGTATTTAAAAAGTAATTAATTGGATAAAACTCTTAAGTTGAAAGACTATAAAATTAGCATCACCGCACAGCTCCATTTGTGCCGATCGAAATGGCACCAAACGTGTTAGTATTGTCCAAGACATATAAACGCCTGTAAGGCGTCGGTACTTGTGAAAGGAGTGCGGAGAGAGAAAGAAGCTTGAAGTATATGTATTCCTACTGAATGTTCATAAAAAACTAAAACTTTATTTTTCTTACATTTAAAAATTAGATAAACCAATAATATTTGTACAGAGCAGGATGGGTATGTCTAAATATCAGAAAATCCATTTCCTCAAAAATGACTTTTCCTTAACTATTTCCCATTTAAAGACCATGCAGCCTCCCCCTTAAACCGCCTAGCGACAAAGCAGCAAGAATCTTGGGGGTATGGCGTTCGACCAACGTGCATCAAAGCAGTGTTTGTGAATCGTTAATTGAAAAATAAAATTAACAAATATTGAACCGATAACACTAGTTTCTAAAATTATCCTGTGAATCACTTTATGTCAGACTATAGGCATTATATGTATCGTATCTAACATTGAAGCCATTCAGAACAGTGGCGTGCGTTTTATCTTTTTGTAATTATCATGGTTCAGCCAGTGTGTCATCCATAAAATATAACTCATCTTTGCCTTTTCTTTCTCTGCGCCGTAAAGTATCTCGTCTATCGCTTTTTCATAATATTTACTACTCTGTCCCTACTCTGCAAGAAAAGCTTAATCTCCCGTCTCCGCATATCTCCTTTCGCCTTGATCATCAGTAGAAAGTTGGAATTCCCCAGTGTCGCACCTCCGCCTACCTCGACTCTTATTCCCAGGTCGTCATTGGAATGGAACCAACTTCCCGCATCTTTAGTATCTATATAATCAGTTGACTATTTTAGAGATGAAATAACCAGCCATTTTTGTCAGCAGGCAGCCTGACTGTTTTTTGTTTTGTTAAATTTGTGTATTTGTTCTGATATTTGTATAATGTTTTGTACGTGTCTCTCCCCTCTGTAATGTCCTGAGGCCCTGAGGGTACAGAAATAAATAAATAAATAAATAAATAAATAGATAGACAGATAGATAGATAGATAGATAGATAGATAGATAGATAGATAGATAGATAGATAGATAGATAGATAGATAGATAGATAGATAGATAGATAGATAGATAGATAGATAGATAGATAGATAGATAGATAGATAGATAGATAGATAGATAGATAGATAGATAGATAGATAGATAGATAGATAGATAGATAGATAGATAGATAGATAGATAGATAGAAAGATAGATAGATAGATAGATAGATAGATAGATAGATAGATAGATAGATAGATAGATAGATAGATAGATAGATAGATAGATAGATAGATAGATAGATAGATAGATAGATAGATAGATAGATAGATAGATAGATAGATAGATAGATAGATAGATAAAGCGTTTACGCAATTATGGCTCTTTAAAATGATGCTTACGGTTTCTAGCTACGTGCCAAAATATAACCTACTTTCCGACTTTTCTGGTCATAATTATAACCATCATGTCTTTATACTGTGCCCATAAACAACCAGTATAGCTTTGTAATGTAGCGCAATGAAAAGTAATACATATATAAACCATGCTTGAAAAAGAGTGACGACTGTACTAGAGACTCAGATCTTACATGAGACAAGATGTGAAAATGCATAACTTCAGGTAAAAAATCATTGTGCAGCCTCCTCATGAAAATCAGTTGTCAAAAATGTCTACGTCCCCATGACTATATCTATTCACAGATGACCGCATTCTTGTTGCGGGTGATCCCATGTATTGATCGGGAAAATAAAAAAGCAAGAGCAGTACTACTTGAACGAACGGGTACATTTAAATTCACAGTGCACAAAATATGAAAGTCCATGCCGCTGTGAAGTACTTTGTGCAAAAATAATATATCACGATAAAGCCTTTTGGAGGTAGACCTTAAAGACCGAATTTAGCAAGAAAAAGTTCATAACTATAAAAAAGTCCTTCGATATATATATATCTAAAAAAAACTATACGGACAAAGCACTGGTGAACATATTCAGCGTTGGTCTGCCCCCTTATCTCTGCGACTTCTTACATTTTGCCTTTGAAGTTTTCTTCCCGGTCTAAGGATTTTAACATCATAATAAACATATTCAATTTTCGCAGCTTCTGGCAATAAATGCATTCCACACAACAGAGCCAAACACTAGTCTTGATCTGATGAAATAGCAAAATAAACGAAGTAAACAAGCATGACCCGCCAAACTTCTAGCCATGAAGGAGTTATTATATTGAGAGCATTTGCATAGGAAAAGAAAGGCAATCTGCTGACCCAATTGGCAATTTTTATATTGGCGGAAAGAGTTTTCTCTGGAATATAAGGGTAATCGGTTGCCGAAAACCACCTAATTTGGCCAACAAGTGTTCAGCTGGTAATACGCTTTTTTTTAAGACAGTGCATGTTTACAATATTCGGTTATTGAGTATTTTAATTATTTTAATTCAATTATATTTTTTTAACGCTGTGACACCAAGCTGTCAAACCCTTTGTCCTTGCAGTGACCATTTATTGTGTTTTATTTGTCTGCTCTCCGGCTATAAAATACAACTCATGATCGGATGGAAGCCGTCTTCATGAATACCATGCGCTCCCGCAAACACAGATGTGCGTACACACAGCCACACTCACGTGCATGCACATACATAACGTTAATACCAATGAGTCAACATTTTATTAATTTGAGGTTTGCGTAAGTTAAGGCACCGATCTTACAAAATGATATAAAAAGATAAGTTCTTTAAAGTAGATTCGAACTCTTAACAAAAGTTAAGCTGCTGCAATTCAGAACGGAATAGGTGGCAATAATAACGTTGAGGTTATATGCTGTAAAAAAAACTTCATTTTTGCGAATTTTGCGACTTCGCGACTCTAGAATTACCGCAAAAGTGGGTCACACGAATGTACTACACAATGTAAACGGATACATAGCATATCACTTTGAATCGCGAAGTTTTGTGTC